GCATACGTAACACGTTGCCCGACCATCTCAGTCGACGAAAATTCATGACATCATCGACTGGTTTGCCATCAATCGCTAATACATTGTGTGTAACCTCACTAATACTTACCTGATGATCCCAGCAGATGCTGGAAACATTTCTAAGACATCTGTGATTAAATATTAGTAACTTACGAGTATCTTCTACTCTTAATGGCCACATTTTGCAGCCATAAAGTAGAACAGAACAGACTGCTGCTCAGTATACTCGTCTTCGCCATAGGTGACATTAGTTGGCGAGAGCCAAACGAGTTCTTTGAATCTGTGAAAAGATTTCGTCGGACATCAGCCAACCAAATTAACATAAAAATGTTTATCTCAAGGGAAATTTAATGAAATCGCTTAACAGGAAACATGGAAAATACATCTTTATTACCTGCTCACATCTACATATGAAAGTATAAAATCCAGTTGTCTTTATGAAAAAAATTTGTATTCTATCTGCAATGCTAAATCTGTGTTAATCGTATATATAATCTAAATAATTACCACTTATAATTGAAAATTTTATTTTCACTATTCCAAGTTACCATTGATATCTTAATGATGATAAAATAAACAGATATAAATGTGAATTCGTAATTCATTTAGAATACAATAAACAAAGTAATTGAAACTATAGGTTATAATTGTTCAACATTTATCGATCTTCATTTTATTGTAATTTATATATTTGAATGTTTCATTCTAGACTCTAGCTATTGTTTGTTAATTTTGACAGGACATTTAAAATATAGTAAAATGTTGTAAACTACTATGAATAATAATGACTGAAATACTAATAATCTTTAATATTCATTAACTAGACAATAGTCTGGTAAAATATTTCTGTTACAAAAGACTTTGTATTGTTATGGAAACATAATAAAATTCATAATGCTCAAAGTATTTTACCTTAGCCATGTAATCATTATACAAGATTATAAGTTAAACCAAACAACCAAAATAATTGTATGTTACATAAAGATGATTATTAAAGATGGTTTTCGCAACGTTACAATATGTTTACTTTTCTTGGATTAAGGTTAATGTTCTGAGATTGATTGGAAAAACTTATTTCGGTGGAAGACGAAATGTGTAGTAGTTAATGATTTCGGAAAGTAATTAGTAATGTCAGTGTCTAGAATTTTATCCTGTTTCTGATCAGAGATAAATTCTGCTACAAGATTAGATAAGAACTCACATCATAGTGAATAAGAGGCAGAAGTTTTACTATTAAACTCTTCAAGTGTAAATTATCTACTGCTTAGAAATGGATAAATTGCTTTGTTCAATAAGCTAATTGATAGTTTATTGATAGAGTCATTAACTTCAGCACTGAATGTTGAGGACTTGATGAGTTTCTTTCAGACTGAAAATCAGTTAGTCATAAGCATCGTAGCGCCTGAAGAAATATTCTTAGTAGCAATGTTAGCTAAGAAGACCAAACATTAAGAATATTCTTCAAGAATGAGGAATGAAAGAGTTTGTATGAAAGAACACTGGAAGGAGATAAATAGTAAATGCATTTGTATCAGTGTGACCGATTCTGGGGTACGTTACCTGACGTCGCCGACTACAGCTTGACTGTAGCTGGTATCATGGTACAGTGCTTGTGATGGCCTAGTCGACCCATAATTGCTGGAATACTAGTTTATTTATTTGTACTACTCCAAAGAGGCTGGTTGGAGGTTGGCAAACCTAAGAGCAGTAAACCTAAGACTTGGGAGCAGAGTTGTATTACAGAATGTACAGGAGTGTGGAGGTATTAAAATGTATCCCTCAAACTATAAACGTCTGAGGCGATGCTGTTTTATCCCTATGGAAGGAGAGAGTTGTAAATGATCACTGCTAAGCATGAAACACCTCACCTTGCCCCACAGTCTCCGTTTCTGGTAGTATGGTTTATAAGAGAAGAGGCTAACAAACTAAGAACTACTCACGAAGCGGTCGTATTTTGTCGATTTCAGTTGGCTGCTCCTTAAGATACTGAGTCACACTTTCGGGTAATCAAGACCTAATCCAGATTCTATAACATATCCCTCAATAAAAAGTACCTTCTCATAGTGTGAGCAACCGAAGAAAGGAACTTACATATCTGTAACAGCGCTCCAGGTCACTTTGTTCCCAGTTAGACTCAATGTGTCTTCTTAATGGATTGCAACAAGTACAATACCTAAGATATATGGTTTCGTTCTGATTGTTTATAAACACGAAATAGTTCAGTGCAATAAAATTATTCAAAACGTATTGTGTTAAGATGCTATGAAGTTCTGATAAATGTCGTCTGTTGATTACCTATTATACAAAAGAATATTGAGATAGCTCTTGTGGTAAGCGATTAGAGCTACAGTTCCAGAATACAAGAAATAACAGGTTGATCAGATAACAAAGTAAAAAGACCGTGAGCTTTCCACCATGGCATTTGTGTTGCATCTAGATGATACCATGGAAATATGAAGTGAAACCCTGTGGAGCTCCATGGATTTTTGTAGAATCTTTACAAACTTTAGATACCCACCGGTTCATACCAAAAGATTGGGAATACAGCAATTTTTTAGGTATCTTACACATAAAATCTCAACACTTGCTCAAGAACAGCAAAACTTAGTGTTCAGGACGTGGTAACAAGTTGAAAGCAGTGAGTTTAACAGAACGCCAGTAAGTAATCATAAAAAACGTTTTGGGTGGTGGACAGGGAACTCTGAAGAACAGTTCAACTGGTCCATGTCCCGAACAACATCAAGTGACCATACTATGGTCCTTGGTCGGTGACTAACAATTCACTTAAAGAAACGAACACCCCGGCCCACTCACAAGGAAGATGCAGTTTTCTGTCCAAGTCACGTAACTCAGTCTACTGATGACAATCCGATTGGTTACCATCATGGAACACTAACTTTCTTGGGTTGAATATATTTTACAAATATTGTTGGAGGGGCTTACATGTCGTTCACTACTGTGTTGACACTAAAACTATGTGGGAAAAACGAGGTCAATCTGTGACATGGGACAATAAAGTTGTATTTACTTGGTACCTGTTGGTCATCATGACTACCTGGCTGAAATCTTACAAGTGATTGTCTTGATATGTTGGTAAAAATAACTCAGAATAAAAGTCAGTGGAGATCATTTCTCAGCTTTCTATTATATTCACCTCAGACAGGAATAATTTGGTGCAAACATGTTCATGCTTATTTTAATTTAACTAGAAGTATTTTGCTTTGTTTCTTATGTACCACTTAAAAGTGTTAATTCAATTCAATTATTTATTGTCTGATGAAGTGGCTTACACTAAGCTGTGAAACCTCAGAAGTTCAATTTCCTATTCATTGGAATATTAAAAATGACACTATTTTTATTATCAACAATCCACCCAATGCTTAATTTGTTTAAAATTATCAGGTTGAACTTAGGTTATGATACTTAAATTCTACTCTTGTTTGTTGTTTACTGATTGTATGCCTTTCCCCTCTTTTTCTTCTATGTTATTTGTCTTGTGCGCTATTGCATTAAGCTTTTTACGTATCATAAATAGGTTGGCGTGAGTTAACAATACTTCGAAAATTCGGTATATTAATTGCGAGATTGTGAGCCTTAGTTGAATACAGTGGTTTAATAAGTCTTATAAATCCATAAACAAGCATGTTCAGCATTTAAGACTAAGGAAACAAAGATGTGGTATCAGTCTAAAAATTTTGACTATTATCACGGGAGAGCAAACTTCATGGGAAGTATCCATAAGGTAACCACAACAGATGAACGCATTATATTCCATACAGTAACATGTGATAAATGTTATTGCTTGATTCTATCAGTTTTTTTTCTTCTACATATCTACTTCTGTCTATTGTTTTTACTCCGCTTTTCATCTGTTGAATTTTTCCAGTTTTCAAGTGAAAAGTGGGGAAACAAATCAGTTTACATTCATGTTGCGTAGTACATGGTAATAATCATTTATCAGTCCAACGAAGTTTAAGGTTTACTGTCTAACTTGATTTAAATGTTCTTAGTTGTGAAACGCATCTTACTAATGAGGCAATTTATCTACTAGACGACAAGAAATTAAATAGAGGATATTGTTACAGTCAAGTAAATATTTGTATAAGAATCCCAAAGTTATGCAATAATCGGTGAAGTACTTCAAACTCGTTCTCCATGCCACAAGATCAAAAACAATCCATAACCACAAATATAGAATGAGTTGACTAGCCTGCAAAGAAATGTATGTATTTGAGATATCAACAGACCAATACACAGAAACGGATGAAAACTGTATGAAGTTTAGCGAATCAGTCACACCAGGTTATCTAACAAACAGGCTTCTATCAGTACATAGAGCTTAGCAGTGTCAATAGAGTGTAGCTTCGATAGTGCAAGATTAATAAACACATGGGGACAGATTTGGGCTACTTATTTATTTATTATTTTACTTAAACACAAACACTGGTACAAAGAGAAATGTGCAACACAATTTATTGGATTCGTGTGTGCGCTGAGATACTGCCTGGGTCCTCAAACAAGCAGGTGGTTTTCTTAGAGAGGCTTTGATCCAGAAATTTGATCCACAAGGCAGTGGAGCAACGTTAAGTGGTGCAGTTCCACGGTGGTCTGTGAGCAAAAATAGGCTCGAATGCCATTTTCCCTTAGGATCCTGGGGCCCATGCGCACCACTAGTTTCGAATCAGGGTACTCCAGATCCCCCAAGTGGACCCTCGGTATCAACCAACCCGGTTAAAGCTCCGGACATTCGCCTTTCACCCTCAGTTTCGTAAACAACAAGCCGGCTGAGAGAAAACAATGAGTAGGACTTCACTGGCAGTGGCTATAAACGCTAGGCCATATGGGAGCATTTTGAGAACGCACTTCCCCCACCCTCAGCCATATCAGGGCATTCAGGAGGGTGAACTAACGAACTTACGGTTAACGATTCAGTCTAGATGCTGTCATCTGATCTACTAAGCTGCAAAAGAAGACAGTTTACAAGTGATCTTATATTATACAATCATCAGTACAAACAGATTTTAGTTCTTCAATAAGTTTGCGAGATGTACAAGGAGGTGAAACTGCTGAACTAAGTCTAACTGGAGATGGCATTATTACTTCACGAAATTCGCTTTCTGATTCTGAAGATGAATCTTCATTCTCAGATGATGAGCCTGAAAAATTGACTGGAAGTTTCAATTGTTCTTCGTTTTCACCGGAAGGTATTAGCAAATCCTATAAGCAAAAATAAAAACTACAATAGTTCGTAACCTTATAAAAAGGGCATATTAGAATATAATTCATAAGAAACGTACTAACATAATGTCTGAGGAAAACTAAGTTAACTCGAAAAATGAAGTACTAGGGACCAATAAAAGTCACCTAAGGGTTATCAGTTGGTAATTGTGTCAGTTCAAAACAAAAGAACTCACCATTGTTGAATTATTCTTCCTAAATGTTTATTTTGATCAGGATATTTATATATCGGCGTGCGTAATTAGATGAGACGACGTTTCGCCAAAGCTCTGGAGTTCTCATAAAGACTCTCCACTAAGTTCATATGCTGTTTGGTACGCTTTTAAGTGACGTACTACCGTACGACTTGTTGACTAACGGATTCACGAGAGGAAAGTCTATGTCCTAGGGGGCACTTGATTTATGTAAATACAGGATAATGGAAAGACTTATAACAAGACTAAAATAGGTGTGCACCAACAGAACGGTCATGCCTTGAAAGTGCTCACGAGATTACAGCTATTAAAAAATCTGGAGAACAATAAGAAGTGAGGATGATCATTTTGATCTCCAAGCTGATCTGGACGAATTAGTTAGATGGGCTCGAGGTTGGGGCTTAGAAGTTAATTTTAGGAAGAATGGTACGGTAATAGCTACCAGTATACTACTGATGGTACATTTCTTTCATGAGTTCAGGAACATAAAAACTTAAGAGTTATAATAAGTCACGACTTGGAAAAAAACTACGCACTGCAACGTAGCTGTGGCCAAAGGATTTCGTGCGTTGTGGTCACTTCGCCGAGCATTCAAATGCTTTGACGAGATGTTCCGAATTTTATATCCCATCTATGTAAGACCACACTTAGAATACCGTATCCAAGCAGCTGGCCTATATCTCATTAAGGATACTAACTCGAGCATATTCAGCATGTGGGAACAAAATCAGCGAAAGGTCTTTCTAAACCCCCTTACGATGAGCGCTTGTGACCGCTACACCTTTCCCATCCTTCGTATCGTAGGACACGAGATGAATTTTCGTGGCATTTCGTATCTTTAATTACAACTAGGGTGTTATTATGTCTTATCTTTTTGCTCCCTCCAGCACTAATAATCCCAGAGGTCATAGCAAGGTTCACAAACCTCGATCTAATAAACTTAAAGTGAGGTTTCGTTTTTCTCATCAGGTTGTCAATGACTGGAACACTTTGCCCGAACAGGTGGTATCAGCCTCATCAGTGAACATTTTCAATGAGAAGCTGGACCTTCACTGGAAGACAAACTGTCAGCATTAACACAGGTCCACCAATATACTATCTTTATTACTGAAGACTAAACTTGACTTAAGTTATACTGCTTCAGTAACAGATTTTAATAGGGTCGACAACAAACGGGAAGCCAGAACTCGATCCCAGTATAAGGTGTTGAATCTCCTTCCAAATCACTAGCTGACACATCTAAAACAATCTCCTAGTGAGGACATTTTATGGAGAATCAGTTGGAGTTTCCGTACGATGCCTTACATTTTTAACACTCGGAGTAGTTTTAAACTACAGGCTGGAAGTGACTTCATAAGATTCAATGCGTTCAGAGCGACCCTACATATTAGACTCTCTCGCAACTTTTCAACTGCACAAAATATATCGACAAGGCTCTTGGAGAATAATGAAAATTACCACTTAAACTCAAGCAATATTTTTGTCATCCCTTTGGACAAATTCCGGACTATATATATAGCCATTGGAGTTTATGATACTTCAATTCATTTCCATTTTAAAGCATTTTACGACCCGGAGTTCTCTAGTCGTGACCATATTAGCTTAACAACGACGACTCGAGTGATTCATGGGTGATTATAACCTTAGCGCTCCCCAATCAACCGAACAAATATTAGCTCTTAAGTAGTTGTGGGATAGATAAGGTCTTAACGTATGGAGATCGCCCATAAACTAAATGGTTAAAGTATAATTTATGGACGACCTTAAAGCGATGCCAATGTTGTCCACCTACTGATTAGAGCTAAATGAGGGGTTTAAACCTGTGTGAAGGATAAGGATTGTGACTTACAGTTGATGGTTAGGTATTACATCTAGGGGTTTCATCACGAACTGATGTAAGCTAAGACGCCAAGACGTTATTTAGCCGAATGAATAGAGAGTTTGGCGCAAAAATCCAAGATCTATTATTGTAAACCTGATTGGTTCGTCCATAAATTATGCTTTCGCTAAGTAACTGTCTACCAAGTCCGGTGCAAGATAAGTTTGGAGAAAACTCTTGAAAAGTAGTTCCAGAGAATCTGGTCCAAAATGGCGCTTGTAAGTGAATGAAGGGCTCAAAATAATGAATTGTAAAACATAATAGCTACAAACAGGGGTATCTACGATTCCCTAAGTTTAGCGTACGAAGTGAAAAATACGGTAGCTGTATTTTATACTGTCCAATAGATAGTAAAATTTGCTAAATTTAAGTGGGATTGATGAAATAATCAACAATTTACTAACTAATTCAATGTATCGACCATCATCAGCTTCACCTTCCATTGAATCAACTTTGACTTTTTCGGCTTCTTCAATTAAACTAGTTACCCTTGATATGACTATACAGTAAGGAAATGAGGGTACCTTACTTGCTCTTGTTCGAGAACGATCTAAAGGCTGTCGATTTATTTTCAGGTCCGATAACTTCATAACTGTAACACATACCTTTAATTTAAGCGGACTGCTATCAGTCTTCAGTTTTCAGTAATAAGAATAGTAGGTTGGTGAACCTGCATTGATCCTGACACATTGCTTTCCAGTGAAGGTCCAGCTTCTCATTGAAAATGTTCACTGATGAGGCTGATACCACTTGTTCGAGCAAAGTGTTCCAGTCATTGACAACCTGATGAGAAAAACGAAACCTCACTTTAAGTTTATTAGATCGAGGTTTGTGAACCTTGCTATGACCTCTGGGATTATTAGTGCTGGAGGGAGCAAAAAGATAAGACATAATAACACCCTAGTTGTAATTAAAGATACGAAATGCCACGAAAATTCATCTCGTGTCCTACGATACGATAAGGGGAAAAGGTCTAGGCATTTTAAACACTCGTCGTAAGGGAGTCTAGAAAGACCCCTCACCAATTTCGTTCCAACACGCTGGATACGCTCAAGGGATTTGGTATCCCTTACCAGACACGGGCTAGCTGTTTGGACACAGTACTTGGATACTGTACTCTAAATGTGGTCTTAGGTAAGTGGATATAAAATTCGGAACATTTCCTCGTCAAAAGATTTGAACGCTCGACAAAGTGACCACTGCGCACGAAAACCTTTGACAGCGGCTGGTTTGCAGTGCGTAGTTGTTTTTAAATCATGACTTAATACTACTCCTAAGTCTTTAGGCTCTTGAACGCATGGAAGAGGTTTACCCTCAATAGTGTAACGGTAACTATGACCGTGACTGATGTGCATTAGCACAATCTTCCTAGCATTGATTTCTAAGCCCCACTCTCGAGCCCATCTAACTAAATCGTCTAAGTCAGTTTGAAGATCCAGATGATCATCCTCACTTTTTATTGTTCTCCAGATTTTTACATCATCCGCAAACAATAATGTCGACGACCTAAGCAACAGCGGTAACTTATTAACATATTGAAGGAAGAGCAGAGGGCCTAAGATGGTGCCTTGTGCCACATCACTTTTGACCGGCTTCCAATCGGATAGCGTCCCACTGACCCTTTTTCTCTGTCTGCGGTCACATAAGAAGTTACCTATCCACTGCTGTACAGTACCTATTATTCCGAAGCTCGTGAGCTTCTGCATAAGACCTAAGTGTGAAACCTTGTCAAATACTTTGCTGAAATCCATGAATATCACATCGACAGGCAGGCCTTCATCTAAGTCTGCTGTCCAATCCTCTCTCGCAATAAGCAAGTTAGTCAAGCATGAACGCTTGTTACGAAATCCGTGTTGCTCAGGAGCTAACAGATTGTGTAAATCTATGTGGCTTAGCAACCTAACCCGAATTATCTTTTCAAGTAACCTAATGACTATGCTAGTTAGGCTGACAGGCTGATAGTTAGGTACTATCTGTCTCTGACCGTCCTTAAATATAGGATTGACTATAGCGTCTCTTCAATCTGTAGGGAGTTGAGCAAGTGAAACGGACCTGTTGAAGAGTGTCGCGAGCGGTCTTGAAATGATGTCCGCAAGAGATGACAGCAACCGTGGATGTAACCCGTCAGGGCCCGGTATCTTACAAGGTTTGAGGTTAGTTATCAACGGAAGGACAGCTTCCCCATTCATCTTTACATTTTCAATGACTGGTATCTCGGTGTGAGTGGCATAAGTATTTGCTACAATAAACGTAGAGTAGACTTCGCTAAAATAGTTTGAAAAAGTCTCAGCTTTTGCTCGATCTGATTCAGCTAGTATATCTGAATTTTCGTGTAACAGTAACGGGGGAATACCATCACTACGTTTCATTCGCCGATTAACATACGAAAACAATCGTTTCGGACAAGTACGACTATCATATACTAACTGTGGTTCGTAAGTGGTACGGGATTTCTCTATGGTTTTTTTACAGATATTACGGAATTTTTGGTACTCACGCTTAAATGGTGCATGACCAGTCAACAAAAATAAGTCCTAGAAATGTTTCCTACGCTTTAACAGCTTCCGGGTTTCCTTAATAATCCATGGAGAGCGATGTGATAGCTTACGTGTTGACCATGGGATAAACGGCGACGTCACGAACTCGAATGTAGTCTTAAACTTATTCCAGTCGTTTTCCATCGACCCATCTGCGTCGACCGTCCAATCAATCGTGATAGCACAGTTTCTGATTGCCGGAATATTGGCTCGCCAGATATTGGGACGGGGTGGAGCAGTTACGAATTGTATACCATGTGTCCTAAACTTAAAGTGAATTACAACGTGATCACTGTTCACTAGTGGGGAAAGGTGCTGAATATCAAAGACATCCTCACAGTGATAGGTGAGGGCGAGGTCCAGTAGTGACGGATCATGATTGAATCAATATATGTCGGCTTTGTGATATATTGTACAGGTGCACACTGAATAACGGTAGATAAAAGGTCGCTATCGAAACCACTACCTGGATCTGTAAGCTCTATCCAGTTGATATGCGGTGTGTTGAAGTCCCCAATGATGAGACAACATTCTGCCATACTCCAAGAACAGATGTGCCTTAGGATAAAGTCGTCTGCAAGACATAACGGACTACGGTATATTCCTCCTATAGTCACTAACCCATTTCTAGATTTAATCTTACAACATGCAACCTCACATGTGCCACTGATATGAGCATCCGATATGGTTGATTGTATACGAAAGTGATCCCTAACGTATAATATTATACCTCCCCCTTTGCGACTTAAAACTCTATCACTTCTAATACAGATATAGACTGCAATAAAAGGAGAACAGTCTATATCTACGGTGACCCAAGTTTCTGTAACAACGATTATATCGGGACATAATTCTTCCACCATCAGACTTAGCTCGGACGTTTTATTTCTGAGAGTACGTGCGTTCGTGTAGCACACACTTAAGGTGTTTTGGCAATCAATCGCCCTACCCATACAGGCTTCGGAAGCATTGGCTTCCAAGAACTGACCATTCGAAAACCCTTAATGGTAAGGTTATTTTCGCCATTTAACTTGCGGGTTCTCAATTCAGTAAGAGCATTCTTCCACTTGATTCGATCCTCAAGCGGCCAATCTGGTCGAATACGGATATTTGAGTTTTGATTTTCATTAATATGTCTCTTTCTTCGGAACTCCCATATATCCTATATTAACTACTTATGTCACGAGCAGGCAATAGGTTCAGTTTCGTTTTGGAAAGGATGGGATACTAGGTAGCTTGTGTTTATCTTGATAATGACGGTCTTTCAATTGACTCAACCTTCTTCCGAAAACGTCGATAGATGGAGTGTTGAGGTAGGGAATCCCATTTACTTAGGATTCGATGGGAAAGTCGATGGTCAGCTGACAAGTTATTTGTTCTGAGCTTTCGAACATTTTTGTAGTGCCCTTACAAATTCTCTATTCTGGAAGACAAGAAAAATGGAGCCAGAACAGCTGCAGATTTAATAGGAGACTAATGTTTTGAGCTGTCGTCCTCATTTTAAGAAACAACATCCAATCCTTAGTGCCATCCGACGAGTTAGTTCTAGATACTATCCTGCACTACTTCTATTGATTAAAGCGGGTATTCTCAGTTTTCGGTTGTACGAATAGGAGATCAATCAGCCTACATTAATTGTAACCAAAAGGGAATAAAGATGCCACAGATATTCGGAGTTTGACAACGCTTTAACCAGTAACACCTTCTAATATGAAACGTACCCACCAAGTGAAATCAAAAGACAGAAGCGAGGAGGTTCGAAGATATATTTGATAGGTTATCAATATATCGAGGATTGTCTGATCTGATCTGGCTAGCGATTGCACAGTTTGTTGAGCACGGCCTTCTCACTCGTGATCTGATTAAAGCGTTGTCAATCTCCGAATACCCATGGCATCTTCAAGAACATTGAAAATCCCTCCACAGCGTTTTGTTGGACAGCACTGTCATTTATTTGTTTCTCCTCCCTGTCGTGTATTTTCACCTCTGTTCAGATCTCCTTTACCACACCTTTTGTTCTACAGTCTTCCTCGTCTGAGCTTTCATTATGTGATTTTAGTTGAAGACTTATCTCTCGTCACCTAATTTTCTGTTGCGTGTTGCCAGATTATTGACAGTAGGGTCGTGTTTGACTAAGCTTAAGGTAACGGAGTGGTTCAGTATGTGGCTGTTAAGCCTATGTCTGTCTGCTTGGGAGGATTACTGGGATCCCTGCAGATTAAGATTTGATCCCATCTTGTCGGGAGTACTTTTATCGATTCTCAGGTATCAAAGCTTTTGGTATTAACTGTTTCTTTTATTGTTTAGCGCGCTACTTTGCGTTAGGGAAACTTTTGACTATATCGCACAGGCTGTACCGTTTGAGGTATTTTGTATTTTTTATATAATTTGTTCTATTTCCTGAATTGGAACCATTTAAATTGAGCACAGAGTTTGTGTTTTGAAATAATTTAATACGAGTATTTTAAAAACGCTTCGTACGCTATACAGAAGAACGTAGTCTGGCCTATTTGAATAAATTTTGGTCCGTCAGTCCTGCATTCAAACCGAATACCGGCAGTTCAGTCGTTACATTAATCCTTTGATTTTTTATATTGCTATGAAAATCACGCCTTGCTTCAAGTATAGTAATAGAAACTGCTGACATTACATGTTCTGGTAGATCTCCGTAATTCATTGCTTAATACAAGGAAATCTGAGCTTAAACTATTCATTCTCGGTTCTGAACTTTCCTAGAATTTCCTTTCAGATGATCAGGGCTAGATGAAAGTAAAAAGTGAAACATATTAGTAACGACACTTATGTACCCATAAGATGTTTGTGAATAATAATAATAATAATAATAATAAAGGGTAGCCAGTTATAAGTCACCTAGTAACCGGCGCTAAGATAACAGAAATAATTTGATACATCTCAGATTGTCTCTGTAAGATGAGTCAGATAGATATTACATCACTTCCGTCCTTCTTCTTTGGACTCATTCTAACCTATACACTGCAATCTTGGAAAAGGGTTCACCGCTTGGATAAATACAGCCTCACAGACTTCGGATACAAAACACCCAACATTTCTTCATTAAGGTAATCAAATGACCTACAAATAGCCCACAATACCCTAAAATTGTTGTCAGCAGTAGCCTTGTAG